CGTCCTCCCGCCAGCAGTCAGATCCACCTCCCTTGGCTACACTAAGCTAAGCCAACAAAATCGTTCTTCTCTAAATACAGGTGCTTCTACACCTCAAGCTCTACTGGCAGTATGAGATCCACTAAGGACAACGGCTGTTTCTGACCCTGAGCTGAAAACCACTTCTTTTCTGCAGTGTAGATCTGATGCAAAGCCAGAGAAAACAGCCCCCTGGATGGGGTCGAGACAGTTGCCTTGCTGCTTCCACGCTGCACCAGGCTGCAGTTCCAACAGCTTAGTGAGCACTACAGTCACACAACCTAAATCAGCACCAGAACTGAGATTCAAACCTTAGGAGTTCACCGAGTTTTTTGGGAGCAACTGGATTTACAGCACCTAACTAGGTAGAGACTGACAGTAAACATCACGGGGTGGCAATCCTAGTGGGAATGTTACGCTGCTCCTGGGCGCATGGAGGGCTCAGGAGTGTATCTGAAACGCTTGTACACCAACGCAGGCAGGATGAGAAACAAACAGGATGACTGCCTGAACGCTGAACCAGGTACCGTAACAAAGCACTCTGTCATGGCAAAGTCAAGCACCTCGATGCTGGGGTTCCATAAATTGCTACACTCTCTGCTTTAACTTATTTATTCTTCTGTAGCCTGAATTTTTTGGTGCAACTGGATTTACAGCACCTAACTAGGTAGAGACTGACAGTAAACGTCATGAGAGAAATCCTTTGGGCCTTTTCCATAATGCATCATACAGACCTATCCTACAGACTGCACCAGTGAAAGGGGAAATGGATTTTACCCCTCAAAGAGCTATTTGCATGTTAAAAAAACTACCACGCACTCAGCTGAATACTTTACCTGCAGCAGTGACTACAGACAGCCTGAGGAATTTCTGTTTTCCTGTGCATTTACCTAGCATATTCAACAGAACTTTGCGCATCCTGCATTTAACACATTCTTTGTATGCAACTTTCTTTCAGAAGCTAAGGAAAAAAAAAGTCAATTTAAAAAGTAAATAGCAGCCCGGCTTGAAAACCACAGGTAGCAGGGGGTGCAGTCAGAATTACTGCTTTTACGCTGCCCAGATCTCTAGTTAACAGCCTTTTTAAAGGCCAAAAATACTAATTGGAAAAAACTGTATTCTCCTTAGTAGGCCATCCGCAATTATGCTTGTGGCATCGGCTGCAATAATGCACCGAGCAAAAAGATCTCAGCATCAGTATTTTGAGAAACGCCAAGTTTCCCCGCAGGGATCTGTCTGCTCATTTACGTGCTGCCTTGAAGAACACAGACGCATAATGTCTTCAGCAAGCGCCACACTGACGCCGTCTTCCTGGACACCCACCTTTCACTGCAGCTTTCTGCACTCAGCTTTCGTCACGGGATGCAGAGGAACCCGCCCGACTGTTCTGTGGCACTGGAACGCAGCACAAGCGGCACAAAGGCCAGGTGTAGCGTAAGGCTGTCGCCTTCAAGTCAGCAGAAGAGAACAAAATGGAGCTTGTTCAGTCACTCAGGTGCGCGTTTTCTCCACATTTCGTTCTGCCTAATTTTTACACAACTTCTGTATTTGTTTCCTGTTTCATTCTGAAGCTTTCAGAAATCCGACGTGTGAATATTCTTTGAAGTGGTTCTGAAACTATCAAACTATTTATTGTTTCTACCTGGGCAAGGGTTTGTCATAATCAAGGGAGGCTGAGCTGCTTTTAAGGGAAGGGAAAAATCAGCCATAACTAATTACAAGAAAAGTTACTGAGTAAGAGCAAGTTACTTGGAAACCTTTAAAGCTGTTTCTAGATCTGAGCTGGATAGCTGCGTTATCATAAAGACATCTGCTTTAATAATAATTAGAAGACAAAAATTGACTTTATATACTACCTAATGGACAGTGCTGCAGCTAGACAGCAGGCAGGGCTCCTGCCTGCAGATCTCGTAGGTGGCTCTTGTGCTGCTGCTGCTTGGCAGAGAAACGACACTGAAAGAATGACACGGCTGTCAACAGAACCGAATCCAGAAAGGGTACAAGAACCTGCTCAGAAAAATCCCGTAAATCCACGCAGCTTCAGACACAGCTCTGATACTCCTATCTTAGAAAATACACTTCCGTTGACAGAAGGAAACAGAAAGTCACCAAATCATCCTCCTGCTTTTACATACGAGGAATTTAGAGTTTTAAAAGGCACAAATAGCACCTCTGTTGGTGCTAAACTCCTATACATTTCCTATTGTGTTTAGCTGCCATCTTCCTCTCAAGATCCCCCTGCAGAACACATTTTGCCAGAAATGAGGCGATTAATTCTACTGCCATCTTCCATCAAACACAGCTTAAGGTCCACCACGAGATTTACATTAGAAATGCAGGTTTAGTTTGATAGGAAAAATAGTTTCAGCACTCAACAGCCGTTTGACGGCAGAACCACCCAACGGATGTGGTTGAAGTGGTCGAAGCAGGAACATTCAAGGCGTTCAGTACCGCTCTGAGGAGAAGAGAGAGTAACCTACACTACGCCTGGGAGAGCCCACCCCGACTCCTATCAAGGAAACTTCAGCAATAAGACATTCCACGGAGGTCGCTGCCTGCTCTGCACCGAACTACAGCGGCTGATGTATAAAATACCTGTCCGCAGGGCACGGTTTATACCACGTAGTTAAACGTCTACTCTTATGGACAGAAAATCTCTGCAAGACTCTCTTCGGCCTCACGAACACATTTCCACTGGTAGCAGCGGCAGAGTAAACAGAGGAGAAAAGGATTTAGTACGTAGGCAAGGCCTTTGTCACCAAACAGATACTTATCAAGTAATTTCTCATGACATGCACAACTGCTTCTGTAGTCACTGGCAACACAAATGGGATGATAAACAAACACAAAAACGGGATAGAAAATGGTAACAAATGATCTTAAAGGCAGTATACTAATACTTTAAGCATGCACCTAATTCAAACATGAGTGATGGAGTTGCCAGGTCTGAATCATGCAGATAAAAAAAGACTCAGGTCTAGAAAAATGCGTATAATCCTGCCAGCAAATTCTCAGTTCCATTCCACAGAATAAAAACAGTGATACATTCCTTTGACTGCAAATGGAGCGAAGCGAAGAAAAGATCTGATCACCTCGTAGTGCTGAAAAAACCTTTAAACCACCAGTCAAGACATTTACTTAGGAAGAAGTTTGAAAAAATGCAATACATCAGTTGTCTCTTCAGCATTAGGGGGCTAAAACCGCCTTCGTGGCGCGTAAACTCCAAACGCTGCTGTTGGAGCTAAACTTTCAGTGCACATTTCCAACTCACGTGTTTCGAATTTACATCTTCCTTTCTGACTCCATAACCACACAAATTTCCATCAAACACTGATCCAGGAATGAGTTGATATTTTTGCCCTAGGAATTAATGCAAACTGTACTGTCTAAAGTGCCCTTTTGCATTTTAGGTGCCTGCAAGTAGGACTGGGCTTAAAGGGCACCATAACTCAAACTCTAAGACAATTACACCCTCCTAAAATTTTTTTTAAAAAAACTATGGCCACAATATTCTTGAATCTTGATACTGGCAAAGTGAATATTTTATTTTCATGCACAGCTGCACGTGTATATATGCACGTTCAGCACTTTTTCTTTCAACATACTTACATCCAACTATCAATTTAGTGCCAAATTTAAGTGGGTCTGTCTCTCATTGAGTCAAACTGACTCAGATAGAACTTTAAACGCATTAGAAAATGCTGCTTGTCAGAGAAGGTTGGAGAATCAGTCTCAAAATAAATACCATCCCCAAGAATATTATGGCTTGGAAGAATTTCAAGAACTCGAGTCCCTGATGTCTGCAAAATGAAAAGGCCTTTGGAAATGCCCTCGCATCAATACTTTTTACCTATTTGGAATAAAAAATATATATTATTTATAAAATAAAGAGAGCAGGCCAAAGAAGATTGGCCAGAATCACTCTATAAAACTGTTCTGTTCGCTCTGTAACTTAAACTTATAAAGCCTTGGAACATCTGGATAGCAGGATTTCTGGAGAAGCACTCTAGAATGCAGATTCCAATCAGACGATACTTCGTGATGTTTTCTCATCTTGAAGATCCACTTGTTTTCTGCCCCTCAAAACTGAAGTCCATGCCAAGAGAAGGGATGTCGACTCCTGAGAGGGAAGCTGGAATTTAAATAAAGAAAAACGTGCAACTATAAGCACTGATCTGACGAGCAATAGATGGCTGTCTAATCTTGACTTCGACCATCGTTTTAAAGCCCTGTAGAACCACAGGGAAAATGCTGTTTTTTCACTCCCTCGGTAGAATGGCAGTATGCAGTCCTCACTGACAATCGACAGAAAAAATACTTTGGGGTTTTTCTTCTCAGTGGAAGAAAATGGAATCGCATCTACAACGTGCAAGAAGCCCATTTATAAAAATCTCGAGTTGCCCTATTCGTGCGCGGAACGAGGCAGTGGATCACGGTGCTTTGCCATACAATACAGTTATTCAACACTCACAGAAAATAGAGGGGCAAATTCTATTTGACTGTTCCACCTCCTGCAAGTGGGACAGCAGAGGACACTCCTTGAATCTTTGTCAATTAGACTCCACTGTGAAAACATTTTCATAGAGACCGAGGAGGACACAGCCTGCAGCTTACTGCAACGGTACATGTGCGGGATATCTCCCCACTGTTATGGAAGTCAGAACAGATCATAGACCAGTGAACATCCTGGTAGCAGCATCTTCCCCAAACGGTATCATCTTTTGTTGTACCCAAGTTTCTCCAGGGTGAAAAAAGAGAGTAGCAGCTGATGTGGGCATCACAAGTCACTTCCATTTATTCCTAACTGCGACTTGGTTGGTCTCAACTTCAGTTTCTTTTAGGACTGTATCGGCACCTTCCCACACCTTTCACGAATCACTGAACAACTTCCAATCTTGTAATTGTACAAGTTAGTGGCAAGAGTTGTTCCTGCCACATTTACCAGAGGAGCTGCAGGTTTTGTACCCTCCCCTACAAACAGCTTTCGGCTCTTGTGTCAACTGCGTCAACCCAGGGCTACTGGATAGCCACTGTTTTCTTTTAGGTTCTCTTAAACAGTGTATTTCTGGACAAGCTGGAGAAATATTGGTGAAATACTACCATGCAAAGATGCATCAACACAATACTCTGGTGAGAGGGTCTCTGCCCTTCAGTGGGCTCAAGGCCTAGGTGGCATGCCACTATCACAGCTGCAACCACTCCAAAGCCAGCGTGAAGGTCTGCACTCCACTGCCTTCAGCATGTTAGATGACTCTGCCCGAGCACGGGGCAGATGCCACTGTCAAAGTCAAAGCCTGTCCAACATTACCTACCGATTTCCCTGCAGGTAATGAAGGTAATGAAGAAAGAAATACTGACCTTTCTGAGCAAGCTTCATACTGCCGCATTTTCAAACTGCTATGTCTCCCTTTCTATGGCAAGGGATGAAGCTTCACCAGAATCTATACAATGAAAAACAAAGTAGTTAGAGGTAAGTAAATCTGTTTTTCTCACCGAGAATATATTTTTCACTAAGCGTGGGAGTGCGTTTTTAAGAATCGTTCCAAATAAAGAGAGACAACCACTTGTCAGAGCTAACTGAACAGCAGTATTTAAACTGAGATTACTCTATTATTGGCTTTATCTATTTTATGACTGTGTCACAAGCTTTAAAGCCAGAAAGACAAATAAAGATCTTTCAGTTTTAATGGAACATTTCAGGCCTTTCTGGTTAGAAAATTATACTGGTTTACTTCTACTGTGTAAGATGGAATCTGAAAACGCTAAGCTTAGAGCACTTCATTTGCTGATGCCTTACAAAAAAGAAAAGCAGCGGTGAGAAAACAAGGAAGAGTAAAACATCATTTGTGCCTACAACGCAGCCTCCTAAAACCCTTCTGTCAGGTGGGGGTGAAGGTACCAAAGCTTAATGAACCAGGAAATCATGTTCTCTGAATAGCATTGGGTTAATACAGCCGTGGTAGAAATACATGGTAATACATTTCATGCACTCACGGTAAGTTTATTCCTCAACGTTTTCACTTGCAAAATAAAAATGTCATTTTTCTACGAAGACACACAGTTTCAGCCCAAATCTTGGAAAACTGAAAGCTGTGGAGGTCAGACCTAAGCTATATATAGGCAGCACAGAAATTTCCACCTTAAACCTATGTAGAGAGGTTGAGGCAGTTGGGCTTGTTTCATCTGATGAAGAGGAAGCTCGGGGTCAATCTAACAGCAGTCTACAACCTTGTGGAGACTGTTTGAAACGACAGCCGGCCTGAAAGCAGCTCATACCTCATATTCAAGGGAAACAGCATCCCGCTGATCGTAGGCAACAACAACATTTTGCTCTACTGTAGAACTGTATTATTACAGTAACTAATACCCAAGAAATGCAAAGCAATTCATGTGCATAAATCTATCTTCATAACCTGCCTCAGAGAGAGGAAGGTTATCATGCTGTATTTCTCCCCAACTGCAGAACACTGTTAAGTGAAACATGCTGTCCTATAAAAAAAATTAAAAAGTCTGTGGCAGCTATAGGAATAGGATCCAATTCCCAAATTCATACTTCTAGAGTTGTTCCCATGCCTGCCAAAACCAGGATCTTAAAACCGTATTGCTCTGTAGACACCTTATACTGATCTCGCACTGTTCAGTTCTAAAATCCAGAGCTCGTTGTAAGACATGATGGTCAAAATGCAAGAACGGCACCAAGCAGTGTCAAAAATCAATTTGCCACAGAACTTTCTTTCATTTTCTCCAAATGATTTTTCCCTGTGAAGGTAAAGGAAGAAAAACAAAAAGCAAACACTTCCCCCTTATCCCTCAATGATACATACACAATAAATAAATTTGCCTAGGCCTCTTGTTTCCTTATTAAGTGTAAAAAGAATCAGTGCTATTTCCGTTATCAGGTTATTTTCATATTTATTAGCACAGACATCTATTTTACCACGCAAAATCTAATCCATTTATTCAGATGGGAAGTTCCAGAGAACAGCCCTTTATTCTGCATACCTTTAGGAAAGCATACGATCCGAATGTCAAAGGGAACTGATAGAAGGATATATAAGACCTGCTGGCTCGGGGACATTAGTCTCACTGAAATTTCACTATAAACTTTTTATGGAACATCTTTTTTCATCTAATTGATTTAGCAGCTGCAGGTCTGATCCACATGCAAAACCATATTGGTTTTCCTAAATATATTTACCAGTTAATTTAGTCGAACTGACGCGGATTCCTACACAGGTATCCCTCCACCGTTTCAAAACTGATCATAAGGCAGTCATCGATGCAGGGTTTAGCACTGCTTTAACTTAATCTTTTTCTGTCGGACACAATTTAACCATTTATATTGTGCCTAAAATCCAGAGATGCAAACCTCGTCTTTTGTCTCAGTTTACTGAATTGGCCAATACACCGTTGCACTGTCTGCACAATCTCTGCTCACTTCCGACATCTAAGTAGCTTTTTAAATTTCCCGACGGATAGAAATCCCGTCCCTACAGCCACAACAGATGACTCCTCTACTCGAAGGACTGCTGTGCCAAATTAGCCGGTATCTCAGGACATGAAGCTCCTTTAATTAGACTCCTACCGATTTGAATGTAAATTCAAATCACATGCCTTCGGACACCTGAAGCTTCATCACACCAACAGAGATCTCAACTTCCACCTATTCCTCTGGATACGCTGGTTTCTGCTGGGAAGATGTTACTTAGTAGAGATGACAAATTTTTCAAGATGAGAACAATTTGGGAAAGATTTGATTCATATACTGAAGCCTTTTGTAAGTTTAAATGAAACACATGATTAAATTAATAAATCAATCTAAGAGATGAGATGTTGCTATAAAGGTACAGAAATGGCTGTCCTGTCCGAGGCTCCACAAGACAAAGAGTGCAAGCATTCACAGTACTGAAACACCCGCGACCAACACGTCAAATACATTCTAGAGGAGTTCTTTGAAAAAACTGATAACCTTATAAGCTGCCAGCATGTGATTCGGGGTAGCTCTCTGGCTAGACAGACTAAACAGATGCCTATGAATAAGGGATGAGCATTAATAAATCTGAAAAAAATTCAAATTACCGTGAATTTGGAAGCAAGTGTTTTCAGTCTCTGGCTAAGAAATGAAACAAAAGGTCTCCCACAATATTTTTCTCCCTGCAAAAGCCTTAGCAAGGCCAGGATTAAGGAAAAAAAAAAACAAACCAACCAGGAAGGGCACATTTAAACATCCATATCACAGAAAAAAGGACAACCCTGTGGGTAAGATGATTGAGAAGCTGGCCCGTACACTCCTGGGACCTAGACGAAGCTACCTCATCTCCTTGCTTTCAGTTGGGCTTGTCCTCTCCTCATGAATCTCCCAGTCCCCTTAATGCTCATCTCCCCCAATATCCACATGGGAACTGATTTTGCAGTTGTGGGGGCTTAAAAATGCCCTGCTTTATGCAGACACAGAATAATCAGGGCGGAAGCAAAAGCCTGCAATAATGCAGTTAGGCACAATATCATTACACAAAGAAACATTTCATCAAGCTCCTCATTTTTTCATTATTTCTGTGGTGTTTCTCTCTCTCCTGCACGAGCCTGGAGTGAGGGACTCAGCTGATGAGGAGGCCCTTCATTACTCCTGCTACCTAACACAAGCGCACGAGCAATTACAGGTGAAACTCCAGGAGGCAAGGGACCCCACTTAAATACAAGAGGGCAGTTGTTACTCTGACCTCGGTGCAGCTGGCAGTGCCATCTCCTAAGACTGCAAGACTGAAAAATCTGAGCCTTCGTGTTTCCTCAACTCCTGCTCTGCCTGATATCCAGGTAATAGGAAAAAGAACAAACCTGGTACCTTTTCTTATACAACTCCCTCTCCCCCAACATCTCTTATATCAATCAAAATGACGCACAGACAGTTGTTATCTGTGGTAGCAGAATGGTACAGCAAAGAGCTTAGAGAAAAATGCTCCATGAGATGGATTTATGCTGTATCACAAAACCATTTACTCAAAAATATTTTACATGTGTTACACGGTTGGATTCGATGATCTTAAAGGTCTTTTCCAATCTAAATGATTCTATGATTACTGAATCGATCATGACCCTACCTGGTGGTCATGGAGAGCTGCAGAACTTGCAGAGTGCAAGATTCAGGCAACCCTGCCTGCTGTGGAGCTTTTTGATGAAAGCTCTGTGCATCACCCTGCTCACGAAACCGGATCAGCGGCAAGGCTGAAAGCTGCATTACAAGTGTCGGTTACTCTCAGTCCTGCAGCACCGGCCACAGAAGCATCCAGGGAAGGGTGTCAGCTTCCTCCCCTCCCAACCACACACACTGCCCCGATCTCCATGTGGGATTTCATCTTGCAAAATTCCGATGTTCAGACTGAGAGCTGAGAGGAGGATTTGCCTGTTTGTAAGAAAAATAAAGGGAAGTGGATTTCCCCCAACGTTTGCTCTAGCAGCTGAATTCCAGTTCCACGTCACTGATTTGTAGACATAAAAAGGACACAATCCCCTTATCTAGGGCATTCTTTTATTTGTAGTTCCCACCTTCACCTCACAGCCACTGCAAAAAAATTAAAACTTCTCCAATCGTGGACCAAGATCCACATACTAACAAGAAGCCATCTACTCACAGCGTGCGTTCAGCCTGTTTTTTCACCTTTGTCTATAACTTTGTGTAGGCTCAGTTTGGCTTTTACAGTCCAGTATGAGGTTCTAATTTTATCAATATGACAGTTCCACAGCTTCTTGGAATAAGATTGCAAACTATTTTTTCACTGAGAAAGACTAGTAGAGTAGAATAGAATAGAATATTTCAGTTGGAAGGAACCTACAACCATCATCTAGTTTAACTGCCTGTAAATGTCATTTAGTTTATAAGCACTATAAATCGTGGGATTTCATATAAGCTCCAGATTCAGATTCTGGCATCTGATCTGGCCAAAAATCGTCTCACTGTCAAACGTTTTCATACTTAAGAATTAATTTTCTATTCAGAGAATTTATACTTTGTAAAAGTTGGAAGGTTCCGACTCATTCCTAAAGGAGTTATTTTAAGCATCATAAACAATACACAGAGATGCCATATTTTGTTATTTTTAAAGCCAATGTGTGTTACCTTATAACCGCCAAAATGTATAGAACAAACCAGGAAGAACAGGTAGTTTTCTAACACACAAATACGAACTAATTAAAGCAGTTAATCTGAAGAAAAGCTGAAATGAGCCTCTTCAGTCCTACTGACAGAATCCTGGAGAGGGTATTTGCCCAGCAGTATGTGAAGCGTGCCATGGAAAAAACCACAGGCTGTTTATTTTGCCGTGGAATAACTTGAACAAACAGCTGCAGGTTAAGACCTAACCAGAGACTGAAGAGCAAACACTGTGCTGTTAGGATTAAAGAGCTCATTGCACAGTACCTCACGCGTGTATAGAAATGTTCACATGAAAAGTTTCTGCTACCCCCTTTAACCAAGACTACAGTCCTCCTCAGAGGTTCCCAAACATACATTGTGCACAGAAGACTAAAATGCATATCCTGAAAGGGAACATTATCAACAAAGTTTCTGAAAACTATTCTGTGGCAATAAAGAGCGTGACTAAGGAAATCACATCTCTGAACACTAAGGCAGTGATATTTGGTTCTCCAAGTATACTTGCTTGATCCACTAATTATAGTAACCTGAGAATTAATTAACACTTTCACCGTTCCTTAAAGGGAAAAGAAGAGTGAGATTATCTATTTCTTTTAAAGGGAACCTGTGGATGGAATCCTTGCTCCACAGAAAAAAAAAAATGGGCCCACGCTTAACTTACTGACAGAACTTCTGAACCCTCAAACATGGTAACTCTGACACGAACCCTGATATCCTGATGCATACTGTATTCTCCAAAGACCAAAGCTTGCAGGGAAATATGCAAGGGAAAAAAAAAAAAGTTCAAACAGAGAAATGTTAACAGTAAAGAATCATTAAACTAATTTTGGATCCATCTAACAGAAATCATCGAAGAATGGATATACATATAAACTCTTTCTTCTAATAGGACACCCATAGCATAAAAGGTATGTTTACATTTCAGAAACTGATCAAATCCATTGTACAAACACGCCAGTTCACCTAGAGTTGCTCTCAGCACATATATTTCTTCTAAGGAGATTAGGGCATAGCTAGGCAAGCATCAAAACCAAATGAACTGCTTTACTCTTGTAATAAAGCTGAACAAACAAAGTATAAAATAGCTTCCTAAATGTATCACTGCATTCAGATGTTTCCATGCATGTTTTCACAAACTCTCAGAGGATAAATGCACTTTAAAAAAAAAATCCTAGTCTTTTCATTTTTACAGGCACAGCTTTATGTCTTCAATAACTGTGCTGCATGCAGCAACATTTGCATATAAATACACTCAGTTTGTGGAAATTTCAATTTCTCTCTGCAACTTGTAACAACCTCTCAGTTCATTTACTTGCAAGTAGAAAGCTTCTAAAAAAAAAAAAAAAAGAAAAAAGAGTCGACTCCAAAGTAGGGCTGCTTTTTATTCTGTATTCATTAGCCAAGTCAGAGCTGCCCGGTGACTTAGCCAACACAATTTTTTTATTTGATTAGCTCTTATAATTAATCCGTTATTTAGTCACTGTAGGTCAAGACACAACTAATTTCCTTTAGCGTTACCTTACCATGAGGCTCTTCATCTATTCCATCATCTTCCCATTGCTCTTCATTTGCTAGGAGAGGATTCTGAGCTTCACACAAAGCTCTCATTGGGAAAAAATGTCCATCGCCCTGGCTGCATAGAAAAAGGAGAGAAAGACACCGTAAAAAGCAGCAAGTGACTCCGAAGGATGACAATTTCTACACGTTTTATCTGCAAATAAAGTTTTCTGTTGACTGTATTTCCGATGTTTACTTAAAATTATTTTTAAGTTTTGAAAAATACTGTGTTTATTTGTTGTGGCAGCTCAGATACCAAGTCTTACTAGCAAGTAGTTTGGTCCTCAATTCTGTCAAGCTCTCTGGAGAATAAAAGTGCAAACCGATAGCCTGGAATTAAGTAATTTTTAGCAGAACTTAAATGTGCCTAACTTGATCGAGTCATTCGGATACAGAAAAAAAACATTAAAAAATTAACTTATGGACAGCCAGAAGTGTGAGAGGAACTAAGGAAAACATTTATGTCAAAGGAGCAATTTATACCATAGATATAAATTTTACCATAGGTACAAATTGTATCGATTTATACCATAGATTCTTCAGGGCAGAAATTACACTCCTGTGTTTGAATGACACCCAATAGAAAATGGCCCCAATCTTAGTTAGATGGTGCTGAAAGGACAAATAAAAGAACCACTTTCCTAGGACCTAAACCTGTACACAAAATGGGGGAAAAAAAAACCCAAACACTCTGCAAAGATCTAACGTTGCAAAAGCTTGTTTGGCTTCACTACTGCCCAAATAGAAATGTGTATCTGGATATCAAACGAGTTTGAGAGTACGTTCAAATTCATGTAATGTAAACTCACAAAGTTAAAAACTAGGTGTTCTAGCTTGGTCTGCACCGTACTGTATTCCCTAACAACCAGCAGCATAGACAGAGGAACTGTAAACTAGCTGAAGTGCCTTCTTCCTCCGATAATTTATCTTTATGCAAGGAAAACAACCCGAGTGTTCTCCCTGCGACGACTAGACACACCGGTAATGCGCCTCTGCTAGCGCTTCAATGCTGCCTTTCATTAACAGAAAGGCTTTCTGTGCTAATATTTTCCCTTTAACTATACTTAAGAGTGGAAAAGAGATGGCAGTGGGGATGCAACTGGGCCTTAGACATTGCTACTTGAAAAAGTTGGGAACTGCTGTGCCAGGAAGTTATTTTAAATTGTGCCCAATTACTAAAGGAATTAAATTCCAGTGTACTTTACTACTGGTCTGCTAAGTGCCAAAACAACATTTTCCCCTACATTAAGAAACATAAACTGCTTCAGGCAGAGGAGTCTGACAGATGAAGAAAACGGCATCTTGGAAGTGAACACCCATCCACACAGGAGTCCAGGAGGAGTTCAAACACCCTGTGCAGCGCATTTAGCCCTCAAAAACCTTTCCCTTCCAGACTTCTGGTGAACCGGATTAACACAGATGATCTTTGTTGGTGCATTTACAATGATGGACAATAGTAGTCAGCCAAGCCACACAATAATAGGCGTAACGCATGAGGCTGCAGCAGACATTTAGAAGCCAGTCCCTTCAGTTAATTGTATCAGCTCTTAGCACTGACTTGATTATTACTTACCTAGAGGCAATAGGTAGTAACCAGAGCTTTTTTTCTTCTCCAAACACTTGCTGAAGATTCTTTACAAAGCCAAGATTGAATCCATTTTTATCTGGGCCATTTTGAAACACTGGAGCTGAGAAAGCCTCTACACACAAATGCAATTTCAGTGAAGAAAACAAAAATCAATGCCAAATACTCTGGAACAGGATTGTGCATGTTGTGGCCGTCTAAAGACAACATGATTTAACAGAGTATGAACTAGCATTACAAAGATACAAAGTTTGAAAGTAACAGTTTTTTTTCATTTTGTAAGCCTGTAAAGACTTTCAAACTGAAGGAAGGAATTTGGTCTTGCAGCTGAACCACATGGAACAGTCAAACCAAACTACGAGCGGTTTGTTTCATCTAGAGAATAGAGTTAAAAGATCTTTGCGTGAGACTTGTGGAAATTCAGTGGGTAGACATTTCTAAGTAAAAAATCTGCAGAATTAAGTAGGTTGGTCTTCAATGCATATTTCAGAAGTGGCACTGGAGATTTAAATTGCCTCATTCATTAATGATATAATGAACAAGCATTAGGAACAAACATATGCAAATAGACCCTCTGTTATGGCGAGACATAAAATTAAGAAAAGAGAGGGGAGGAGAACCTAGAGTGCACTAGAAACAATTTTATCTACCTTCTAAGCTGCTGCAGAGGTCTGCTGTTTTAAAGTTAATAACTATACAGAATCTGAATATTTGCTTAAACTCTTGATAGTGTATGTTTTGTTATGCAACTTTATCCAAAAAGCTTTAAAAATTGAACAACATTTCTCTGAGGAAGGACAAAGAAATCACTCGACAAAATCATACCGTTTCAGATTTTCATTTCAATGGTTTTACAGTCATAACTTCTTTGCCTTTGTCAATGAAGATGGACGCTGTTTTTCCCAACCTTACTAGGCTGTTTTAGGATGCGCTCCAGCACATGAGCATAAAGAATCATTATTCCTGAAAAGCTGCACTCATTTCACAGCAAATGTAGTTATACATATGCATAACATTTTTATAATTGGACTTTTACACTTTAAGGTTCTCGTTTCCCTAACAAAGCTTTTGTCACGCCAGCTAATAAATGCAGCTCATTTGAACTGACAATTTTCTGCAGCATTGTGCCAAGATCTTAAATCTTCCTCCCCTCATAAGCCAGCGGGAATGTATAGGAGTAGAACACAAATGCCCTTTTTTTTTTCTCTTTTTTTTCTTCTTACAGCACTTTTGGTGTATGTTACTTAAAGAAGTAAGACACAAGAGCCTTACCTAAAGTAGATCTGTTTCTACTAACGAGCCAACAATGGTAGCCAAACAGAAACATTAGGCTTACGAAGAACATGACCGCCACAAAGAGGAGGAAAAGGACGTGGAATTTGGAACGTCCATTAGTCAGTTCACCCTGGAAAGAAAAGCAACACGGAACAAGTGATAGGAACAAATAAAAGCTGGAAATTCCTTGTTCCGAGAGAGAAGAAAGATCTCCTCTAAAACTCCCATTTGGAGTTCTCCAACTCGTGTACACAAAAGTCACGCCTGACTATAAAAAGCAAGAAGAGGCAAAGAAATGATCTGGTTCATTTCCCCTCCTGTAACCGCAGCAGAAGGAGTGGGGCTTTGCTACTAACGTCTTGTCTCTAACAGAGCCAGTACACTCACAGCTTCCCACCTGGGCACAAGAAACGTGCCCTGTGCCCACAGGGAAATAAGCAGGCACAAGCTCTTGAAGCCCTGCTTACGTTCTGCTGCGTCTCCTGCCCACATATGACAATTCTGCACCTCTTGCAATATAAGGCATGCCAAGAAAACCTGCCCTCCACCGCTATAGCGATCAGGTAGCCTTAGCACTGAGCATAGGTGGTTTGGAAGAGTTTAAAAGCCAAGCGGGATCTTACAAGCAGAAGAAACGCTTATTTCCTTCTACCGCAGAAGAGTCAAGTGCCAGAGATCCCCATGAGCATACACCTACAGATGGGCTGTGGGGACCTCAAAGTAACAAAAATGACTTCTCAGCCTTTGCACATCCCGTATATGCAGCCACAGAGCTCAAGCCTGTGTGCCTTTCTTAGCATAAGAAACAATTCCTGCTAGCGTCCCATGAGCATCTCGGGAGGCATTTTATGTAAGTGATTAGCCATTAAACCAACAGAAATTTAATAAATTAATGCACAGCAAAGTGAAGTTACTTAAACACGGTCATACAGAGTTAGCAGCTGAGGGGACACAAAAAAACCTGGAGACAAAAGGCCAGTCTCTTACTGGAACTGTCAGTTGGCATTGCTTGCGTACGAATGATAATCGATAACTGAGGCAGCAGCATACTTTATTTCAGTCAACTTTTAAATTGAGCAAGGAGTCAGGTGGGGATTATAAAATGAACACCGTTTTTTGGTATCGTTCAGTAAATATGTACAGATCAGTGCCAGGATGTTATACCTCTGTGATAACCAGAGGAGAGAAGGGAGCAGATATGCTTCAAGAAATTAAGATTTTGGAAACCATCGGTTAGAGTAAACAGCAGCGTAGCAATCCCAGGATCTCCACTCTATGCCTTCACTTATTTGCTCTAAGTGCAAGGGACCTAATCCTTAAGACACCAACACAGAGAAAGCGGAAACAAAAATATGCCCAGGCAGTTCAGGAAGCAACGTAAAAGAAAACCACCCACCCACAATTAATGGTTTTCTGTAATATGACTGAAATACGTAGGAGGTATTCTTGCAACCACTTTAAAAGCTTCAAATGTTGACAACTAAGAATTTATACCTAGAAGACAATTATTTCCATAATCAGTAGAAGTTTGGGGTTTTTTAATATACGGAGATATGGCCAGACAACAACACCCTTACTTGGATTTGGGAAGATTAACCACATTTATGTCCAAGAGCCTAACCTAACTCAAGCAGTGTTTATCCCTATGTAACACCTCTAATTTCAGTGGTATGAGTCATGATATACCCTAATGTCTATTGAAAAGGCACCAGAACATTTGTGTAAACAGCAATCCTGGGCTCTCTTTCAGTGAAGCATGTCTGCTTTTGAATGACATTTGAGTTTTCCAAACTAAGAAACCTGTGGTAAGTTTCCAAAGATTCTGAGATACATACATGCGAACACAAGAACAGGAAAAGGATATAACTTCTTTGCCAGAAGCTAACTCTACAATTTGGAATTCCTGAAGTCTATTTGCTTCTCGCTTTGCGCATTTCAGACGTATAATGGGAGTTACACTCAAAAAAGGGCACAGGAAAACACCTTACGGAAGAAACGCAGACCCTCCATTCACTGAAAGCAAAAAAGTAACACGAGTGACTGAACCCCACCAGACTCACAGGATATGAAAAAGTAACCACATTTCACAACTTACTGTCCAGTACTTAATGAAATACTTGAAGACTGTTGCAGCAATATACAAGCAATACAACAAAGAATAGGCTAAGAACAGTAGAAAGAATTTGTAGTTAGAAAATCCAATGCAGTTATTCACCCTAGAGAACAAAAGCAAAGTTGAAGTCAGGATACGTACAGCGCACGGTTGTAACAATGAGTACTACAATTTCTTTTGGTTCTATTAAGCCTCTCGAGTATATGACACAATTTCGTCAATAAATAGCTCCCCTTAGTGGTCAAAATGAAATATAACGAAAGTCTTTTTGCTTTTCACTCGAGGAATTCTTGCTAAGCCAAGTAAAAGGACAGTTTGTATTTCTGGAACCTGTTTTAAAGTTGGTACCACTGGTAAATTTGTCAGAGGTAGGCTCTAATTACTCAATGCCTGTTTCTTGTCTGCAAAGGTAATCAGACCTGGGATTTCTGTGTTACTTTATTCATCTGCAAAACTCAGGAGCCAGATTCACCACTGCTTGTTTGTTTACATACAAAACAAATAAACCCAAATTTTATTATAATTGTCCACACACAGGACAACTTTAAAAAGGAACGAGGGAATGCAGAAAAAATAATAGGTGTTTGTCTCAAAACTCAGATTTGAAAAATCCTCACAATTTAGGGTTAACAGGGAGGTTCAGGGGGGAAAATGTTTGTGTTGCTTCTGATTTCTGAAATCTTCCCTCTTAAAAAAAAGGAGTTTAAGAAATTTAGTGGCAGCAATTCTCAAAAAGTGTAAAGCTTAATTCATCCATGCACCATTCCACACAAACTGTCTC